CGGGCGGTGGGGCGGCACCGCCACCTCCTCCTTCGCCGGGCCGCCGCAGGCGCTGTGCTTCGGTGCTTCGTCAAGCCCCACCAGCTGCTCGGCCCCGTCTCCCACCTTCCTCCTCCGGGATCAAAAACTGTCGTGGGCGTGTGCCGGGCGCGCCCGGCCTGCCTCACCCCGCCTGCCCCCGCCGGCTCAAAGGCAGCCCCGGGTCCCGCCCGCCCTCGGCCCCGCTCCTCTGCAGCAGCGCCTTCACGCTCCTGCCATCCACCTCCTGAGCTTTTGCCGAGTAGCCTCCTGGTTTTGGGGTCAGAGCAGCTTTCTGGAAGCCCTGGCCGCGCTATGGGAAAAACGCACTGGACAGACACCTTAGTTACGCTTCCACGTTCCTCTCCTGACTTTGCACAGGGCATCCTATACATGGATCTGGGACACACATGGGGGTGGGTGGCCAGGTCCCGGCCACCAGAGCGATTCAGCTGGCCCCGACCCCCTCCCTGCCCAGGCAAGCTGCTTTGTGCTCTCCCCCGTACCCCTGAATCCGCAGCCCACAAGCGGGGTGGGGGGGTGGCACCAGGCACCTGTGAGCCCTCTGGGCCTTCTTGGCCAGGAGGTGAAGGCAAAGGGAGGAGGCCTCTCTGCCCATCATGGGTCAGTTAATTTTCTGCTGGTGCTTCCCACAGCCCTGGGGCACAGTCCAGGCACATCCTCGGAGACCTCCCTTTTGTCCCTCAGCGATGGAGGCCGATGCATATGTGGCACCCACCTGACTGATGCAAGCACCCCAACACCTCCACATCTGCCAGCCCCTAAAGAGCCTGGCATCTCCTCACCTGCCCTGCTGCGGCTGGGGCCCAGCCACCGGCCCTCGGTCTTGCCTCCAGTCTCGCTCCGGCACGCCAGCATCTCATCGCAGACACTGCCATCCCGTCCCCTGGACCTGCTGCGCAGCATCGCTGTGTTCGCTGGGGATGCCATGGAGGTCTGTCTTGTCTTCTCCAGATGAGGGTGGTGATGGGGCTCTCTCTCTACTTTCAATTCACCCTCCTGGAGCTCCCCCTAACGCCCATGTTGGCAAGCAGAGGGCCATCTGTCTCACTGCTCTCACCTCTGAACAACGTGGCACTTGAGCAGGGTTCACAGGAAACCAAGCTTTACAAGAAAGCAAACACCACAGTACCAACGAGAACTGCTGAGCTGGCCTCACAAACGCACAACACCCTAAACGCCACAGGGAGAAGGCTGTTCCCCAGAAATCACCTGCCTTGCCGGAGCGGGCAATGGTTCACAGACGTTAATCCAAACAAGGGGCATCATTCAATGCCAAATCTCTTCATGATATTGTGAGTCATTTGCTAACAGTGCTCCTAAAAGCTCTGGCTCAGAAAACCCCAGATCTACAATTAGGCACAGATTCTTCCAGAGGCAGAGCCCAAGGAGGCACCGGAACAGGAAAACCAAATCAAACAGCCAGGCCTTTCCTCGAGATTGAGATCACTTTTATTTTCAGTCGTTTTGGCGAGGATGTGTGGGCGTGTGTGGGTGTGGTGCGTGTACGTCTGGGCATGCATGTGTGTGTGCGCGCAGAGTCCTGCCCAGTGATGTAGATTATATGAATACCTGCAATTACAGTCCATGAACTGAGCCATGAAGCGCGTGATGAGTGCTACACTGAGGCCCGCTTGCTTGCCTCTTCTTGTGCTTACTGCACTGCAGCATCTCCACCTCCCCGCACTGCCGTTCCAAGGGTGCCAGCCCAAGATCCCATCCAAAGGGCGCGGGAGGAGCTGAGCTCCGGGATCTGGCTCTGCAGGAGAGAGCCGGTGGGTTTCCACCTCACTTAGTGAGTTCCTAAATACCATTTGCAGTTCCCTTTAACACAACCGTATCTGTCTCCTCACTGTGAGGAGCCCCTACTGCTCTGACAAATTTTAACCACCTCAGAGGTACAAAGCGGAAAGGAACACGGACCCCATGTAAGCTCCGGTGCTACAGCACAGCCAAGTGCATCTTGGGTTCCTAGGAAAGCAGCACCCAAATGCACTATTGAGTTTTCACAGCCACCATAGAACTGTAGCATGGGGGATGCTGCAAGGGAGATGACCCGTGCTTCCGCAGCCCCCAGTCTCTTCCATCTGATTTGAGACCACAAGGCAGGTTAAATCCCAATCTGGTCTCTATTGCTGTTTAACTTTAAAGCTGAATCCCCCAAGCTCGGAGCAGAGACAGAATGCAGGAAGAACAGCATTGCCATAAGAGGAGACTAGTCAAACGCATCCTGGCCTTGTGGCAGTTGGAAACAATCTTATTTCTCTGACCTTTTTGCCTTTAGCACAGTTAAAGCAGAGGTGTCCCATCACCCAGGACCCTCTGTAGTTGCCAGAGGCCTCCTAGTACCCCTGCCAGCCCTAAGATGAGCCAGAAGTGCAGCATCACCCTTTGGGCTCCCGCTCACTCTACCTCAACAGATTTGTGTGCTGCTTAGGGACATGCAATTTCTCACGTGTCACACAGACCCAGCAGAAGGCAAAGCTGCTATTCTGGGAGTTTCATTTGGACGGATGCAGGTTTCAATCCACGATTTTGCTTCAGAGCATAACACAACGTACTCCAGGACATGTTCCAGTTGCTGAAAGTCCTGCAGTGCAAAGCAACTTGCCATCTCTGCTTCCAAACCTGTCTGCACCAGTTTCAGTAGGAAATCAACTGGTCAACAAGCAAGCGGTCTGCAAACCAATAAGCAAAACCAGCGCAGTCCTCTCGAGTGAAGTAGGCATCTAGTACCAGGAGATTCTCCTCCTGTTCCAAAGGGGTTAAATGCACTGTCAGCTCCATGGGGAGACAAGTGATGCCCCAGTCCTTTCTGCCCTCTTCATACACTTTCAGTAAAGGCTGCAGGGTGCTCCGCAGAGGCCTTAGTCGTTTCCAACAGTTCAGTAACTCTCCAAGCAGGGACAAGAACAGGAATATAATACATGCTCTGAACTCAGGTACCTCTGCTCTTAGGGCACTGCCTTCAAACCCTCCTTCCTTGTGGCTTGACTCATGAAAAATGACAGATCCTTCAAAAATACGGGGCCCTCATCCCTGGGGTTCAGGGATGTTAAGTGGGGTCTAATAGGCAGGAGCTCAGGAAAGGGACATTGTGTGCAGAGGACTCCAGGATGCATCCTTAAAAGAGAGTGACAGCAAAATCAAAAGAACTGTCAGCCACTTGGCTTGGTTCTCCTGCACAGATCTCCCACCTGGCAGTTGCAAAGGGGAGACGTTTTTGAACTGCATAGAAAATTAAATGGCTTTTGCATATTAAAAAAATACATGATGAAAACACAGTTACACCAGTTACTAAACAGTGGGCGGATGAGCGATCACCATTTCATATTAAATAGACCCAACTAGACTGATCTCCATACTGCCACACTCCCAGCATTACGGCTTCAGTGCACACAGCAGACTGAGTGCCTGCAAAGGCCAGGTAACGCTGTGCTCCCGCTGCGGTGGCATGCCCCGGCAGGAGGGCTGCGGTCCCAAGGAGCAGGCTGTAAGATGTCTGTTCTGTCCTCTCGCTCCTTCAATGCTTCACACATCCTAGACCAGATGGGCGCACTGGGAAACAGGCCTCCAGTTGGAAAAGGATTCCAGTTTGTGGTTTCTTTACAACGTGGTTTCCATACAACGTCACAGCAACAAATCGCTAGTTTCTTCCTATGGAGAACGGAAACAGAGAGGTGAGTAGCAGCAAAGAGGAGGAGAAGGCTGCCCAGCATGGGAGGTGACAGTAGGGAATGCTCTAATGTAAGTTCTGACTATACCAGGGCCCTTCAATGTCTCATGGGCAGCAAGACTTGGGACAAGGGACTTTCCTAGCACTATTCCTGACACCATCCAAAGGTCTCACCTCCCTTCCACTCCCTCCAGCCACCACAGGCAATTTCCAGTTCCCAATTTATTTACAGCAATACAGAAGCACTATCAATTAATGCTTCTCACTGACATAAGAAAGGTTCAAATGCCCACTGCCAGAGGTGACAGGTCAACACATGAAATCTGAGCCCAAGCTCTCTCCCCAGCTGGAATGATACCCTGAAGAGACACGAAGCTGACTGAGCTGCCAGCTTTTATTTGTCAGCTTTCCCCTCTGAAGTGAGGCACAATGGTTTGATTTCTTCCACCTGGCCCCTGCAGTCTCCCACTAGAGTGGATTCTGCCCTGCATTTCCCAGTGTTAAGCTCCTGCCAAAGGGGATATTTGCAGCCCTGCACACAAGGCTGGTATTTGAAGGACCAGAAGCCAGGGAAACATCACCTGTGCAACAGCAGCACGTCCCAGCAGGATGCATGTCGCTGTTTTGGACTGGTTTGCAGGCCTGGCCAGCCCGCATCCTGATGCGGGCTCTGCCTGCCGACCAGTATCACCCATCCCAGGTCTGGGGGAAAGGGCCTCTGCCCCATGCCTGCCATCACAGCCCCAAGGGTTAAGAGCTGTACATTAACACAAGCATTTTAAGTCCCTCATCTCTCAGACCTCTGCCAGCATCTGATGAAGGGATCCTAGCTCTGGAAATGCCTGCCTCCTATTTGATTTACACTAAATCAAATATTTGCACGGAGCAGGACTCATACAGTCAAGTTATCAGGGCTCAGCTGTACGGCACAAACTGACAGCAACATCTTAGAAGTCCTCAAAACCATCTAGTCAAGAGAGAAACCAGCACTGTGGTGCCAGTGCTCAGCCTGCCCTTTCCCACATCTGGCCCAGGGGAGAATGGCTGCCCACGAAGCATGGCTGCCAGGGCCAGCCCAAGGGCATCAGGGCCAGTTTGTACAACACAGCCAGAGGCTGCTTCACTAGATCTCCGCACAAAGATGCCTGGGTGGCTTTGCTAGGAGGAGGACCCAGATCTAGGTTTCCGCGATTCTAGTGGTCACAGTGCATGGAGAGTACTGCAATGGCTACTCCAGAGCATCCAGATGTGGCAGACCATGAGTTGTTGGGGGCTAGTGATAAGGAAGAAATGGCAGGTGCCGCGGGCACACTGACTGCCCTTCTTCCATCCCTGCGTGATTACAACACATCTTTACCGCCTCATGGCGCAGTGTATGTGAATGCACAAGGCAAGAAACATTTCCCAGGCTGCTTCTCCTTCCACTCTGCCGGCCATTGCCCAAGCCTGCTGTGTGGGACACAGCCAACTGTTTTGCACTGGAGCAATTTTAAAGGCTTCACAGCATCAACCCCCGCCCCGACAAAGCCTTGGCCAACTGCCACAGAACTCACTTGTCCAGGAACAAATCCAGGGAATCCCGCTACAGCTCATTTCAAGAGACTTTCCTCCAAGCAGGTCTGAATTAAATGGTACCAAAAACATTTTTACATTCATCATGAGATCCAAATGGGTTTTCAACACGCGATCAATGGGTCCACAGAATCCTATCCCCAGTGCTTCCCCTCTGGCCAGTGGCCCTGCCATTTGCAGCAATCGTTTTGCTTCATGCCTCGTTGTTGTCCCCGACCTCCAGGTGACTGCATCCACTCCATCCACAAGGCCCCCACCAGGGAGCTGCCCCTGCCCCACAGCGTTTCAGAGTCCAAAGCCCCATCGATCCCCATCAGCATGCAACTCCACAACCGGAAGGATGGGAGCACTGCAGAGCATCAGCCATGTTCTGCCCGGTGGAAAACCTTTGGCACCAGCACTGACGATTTATCTGGAAGAGGAAAGGATAAAGAAAAAGTAATGTATCACGAGCAGCACGGTTCAGAGTGCTTGTGATGAATAACCTAAGACACACGATTTTCTCTAGGCTTCTAAATAGGGAGGGTGAGGTCTTTAAAAGTAACACAGGCTTGTTTGAGAACACAACTTTCCTGCCAGCAGAGTGACTGTGAAACTGGGACACAGTTGTCAGATGCTGCAGAAGGCAGGCTGGAGGACAGGAGGACAAGTGCACAGGCATAGCCTGACAGCACAGTACAACAAAAGTCGCAGCCTCAGGTTAGAAACGTGCTGTGCCAAGTACACACACTGGAGGACCAAATGAATACACAGTTGTGACCTGTGGCTCAATATCAGGGCAGCTACTTTGTTTCCTGCCCCAGGTGGGCACTTCAACTTCACCTTCACACACAGCTCAACAGCCACCCATCATGGAAGCTATTCTCCAGCAGGATGAGCCTATTTTGGGTGGGAGGGTACTGAACAGAGAGAACAGCATCCAAAGCTACTTTCAGATACTGAATAGGCATCCACATGCATCACAGCAGCAGCCACCAGCAAGACACTCAGCTTGCTCCTCTAAGCTCCTTGCCAAACGCCCTTGTGCTACTCCAAGGAGAGCAGGCCACAGCTGCATTTCTGTTACGCAAGAAAACCTATGCATCGAAAAGCCAAGGCGCTACCCGTTTCTGTCAGTGTTGTTCCACATTTGTTACCACCGCAACACAGCTCTATTTTCCAAGCACATCTCCACTCTGTGGAGTGAAGAGCATGTAGACTATTGATGCACAGGAGGGCAGGTTCTGTCTGGAGGGACCTCACCAAGTTGGAGGACTGGGCCAAAAACAGTGCTGTGAAATTCAACAAGGACAAGTGCATAGCTTTACACCCAGAACAGGACAACCCCGTGCACCACCATAGCCTGGGGTCCAGCTGGCTTGGGATCTGGTGGAGAACACGTTGAACACAAGCCAGCAGTGCATCTTCGTGGCAATGAAAACCAAGCTGTAACAAGGGAGGCTCAGATGGGACAGAAGGAAAAAAGTTCTGCCCCAGGAGAAGAGCGTAACTCGAGTCCAGAGAGGTGGTGGCACCTCCATTCTTGGCTGTCATCAACCCTTGCCTATCCAAGGTGCCAAGCAACGTGACGCAGCTGTGACGGTGGCCCTGCTTGGAGCAGGGGGTGGACAGAGACCTCCTGAGGTCCCGTCCTACCTAAACCTGACCATGATTGTATTATCTCTTGATCTGTCCTGGCCGCTATGTGTGTCTTGCATCTGCCACAACACAGCTCAGGAAACACCTTAGCCCATTTTACTGTACCTCTTATCCTTTGAGTGGGCTGTCTATATCCACAAATAATTAGAACTGTCCCCAGGCTCTGGGGCTGCTACCTTCCAGAAAAAAATGCTTAGTGAGGGCATGTTTTACGTAGGCTTTCTGGTGTCTACTGACAAGGGAATGGGGGTCTGCTTTCAGGTCTCACTTGGAACAAGGGCTGATCACAGTAGGAGTTGGGGGGTAAACCAAGGCAACATTAACTCGCTCGCTGCCGTTCTTGGGACAGATGATCTCCGTCAGTCCCTCTGGTCTTGGCTGACTCAGCAGTTCTCCTGCGAATAAGGGAAAAGAATGAAAACATTTAAGCATCAGCAAGGCAGTTTTTGCAATTTTTGCTTTTAGCTTGCCTTTCCCCTCCCCCTCACCAAGTAAATGTCCATGACTGATGCAAGTGAGCACTGTAAGAGGGCTTACTGGTCCTGCAACCCAAGCAGGTCTCATTTGTGTAACCATGGTGAATGTCCTGGTGATTACAGCTTGGAGACACGTTGCTCCACACAAATGTAACATCTGCCATCTTTCCTGTCTCTGCTTTGAATCACGGCACACAGACTTGAGTGCTCCTTAGGGATTCGTAGCATCTAGATGGAGCTTAATGAGACGGAGGTTTTAGGAGTAGGTGTTTTAATTAGGCTTTGGGGGCAGATGGGATCCAGAAATTTACTTTCAATCTCCATGGAAGGGAAGAAGCTGACCTGTAGCATCAGCAGGATAATTGGTAGATAGATAGAGAAAGCTATAGATACAAGCCTTATTACTCACATCTGCATACTACAGCCATCCACACCCACAAAGCTACCCAAAAAGCAGCTGTCTTTCCGTTCAAGCAGAAGGATGCTACAAGGACTCTGCCAAGACCTTCTTTGGTATGAACCAGAAAGAAGATGGTTTGAAAGCAGTGCCACAGACATGATTTTTGCATCACTTCAGTATTTCTCCTCTAAGAAATTCTAGGGAGGACCTCCAATCAGCCACAGAGAAGTGTGCTTGACCTTTTCTGAACCCATATGTTACCTCCTGTTCTGTCCCTGAGCAACCCTGCCCATCGCAGCTGTCCAGCCATTGCTCCAGTACTGCGATTTCTGAGCTGGAGCTACCAAGGAGCTGGACAGACCCTGCTGTTCTGCGATGGCTGGCCAACCGCAGGGTGCCTCTTTTAGCTGCCAGAACAATATTTAGAAACAGGTGAAAATACTTGAGAGGATTCCCTAACGCCCCTCTCCCTGGGTGTGTTTGCCACAGCTGCCGTGGGACCGCTGCTGTGTCCTGTCAGGGTTCTGTGCCACGCCATACTCTGCTGAGCACGCAGATCCCAGCTCCCAGCAGTCAGCTCTTCCCTAACGGAGGCAATACCAGCTCTGTGAGTCAGTAGCAGCGGGGAGCTCTCCACCACATGGTATCCCTCTGCTAAACACGTTGCATCAGCTCCACTGTTCAAGTGCCAAGTTGGCAGCTCCCCACTGCTGGCACCCTTGCAGCATGTAGTCCAGGGCAAGACGCAGGTCAGCACAGCGAGAGGGAAAAGGCAGGTGCTGAGATGTGCCCACCTCCGAGGAATGCTTCCCCAGCAGCGCGCTCAGAGCGACTCAAGTTTCTTCCTGGCTCCACTCCACACGTGACTGGCCCAGCAGGGCAGATTCCCCAGCCATCGACATGCCATCTCCTTGGCATAGTCCAGCCACAGCTTAGATACCCAATAGCACCAGAAGCACCTCTCGACACCAGCCTGGCCAGTAGGGTCTGCTCTCAAAGGCAATACGGGATGGCAGCATCCATGCCCAGCAAGGGCTCAATTCTTCTGCTGAGCATGCCAACATCGCTGCCGCACAGCTCTACCTGAGGCAGAGGCACCAGGCCACAACTGGCTTGTGCCAGCTACATCAGTGACTTTCCTTTACAGAGGCAGGCCAGCTGTAAGCAGGCTGCAGTCACAGGTCCATGCAAAACTCTCCGTACCCATCAATCAAGCAGCCACCGTGAGCTGTCCCCACTTCCACTAAAACACTCAGGACAGATGGTCCTTGGACTCCCCTATTTTGAAATGTACTTGCAATAAATTCCTCTGCTGTTAAACAAAGAACATCAGAAAAATGTCTGTGTCTAGCTGTGATTGCCAGGCACCCCAGGAAAACCAGAAAAGAAATCACACTTCGAAGAATTACTGCCCACCCTGTGGAGCGATGGCACAACAGTCAGCCCCATCGTGCCTGAAGCTCCCCAAATGCCGCTTCTCTCCTCTCCTCTTCACACTGTTCCTCTTCTCACTTTCATGAAAAAGCAGATCTAAAACCCCTTGTTTTTTCCAAAGCAAGAACACACCATTTGGTATCATGAAAGCAGAGGCGGGGGGGGCTTGTCAGGGAACATGCACACACACAGTTCCTCTTGAAAGATACCCTACCTCTGGGGCCAGTAGTTCCAGTTTGCCCCCATGGTCCACAATCTGAATTCACATCTGGTTTGAATCTCACCTCACACCCACACTCAAACCTGAAAGTGGCAGAGCAGCTTTTAAGCCACACAGACACGTCTCCCAGAACAGAAGAATCGTGATGGTATTTGCAATTCAAAGTTAAATCTGCAAGGCAGCGTCCTCAATTACGTGTCACACATTGAAAGCAGCACTGCATCCCATCAAGCACGTACGCCACAGGGCTCTGTGTCCCAGTGATTCCCAGGTTTCCAACCCCAGGTTGACTTCCAAACTGCGGTATTGCTAATAGTACTGAAAACACCAGCTCTGACAGATGAGTCATAAAATCAGCGTGTCATTACGCACTTTAAAGACGAGGCTAATATCCATTAGATCTTAAACCAGAGGAGTGCAGTAAGACTACTCTGTCTGCTTGAGCCTTCATTCCCACTTCCATCTCCCCACTTCAGGAATCCTTAGATGAAGATTTCTCAAGCAGAGCAGATTGCTGCAGGGTAAAATAAATGCCTGATTTGCAGGCAAACCCCTTCACGCAGCTCTTCAGTCAACCCTCCTTTATGGCTTTATCTTCCCTTCTAGGTTGCCTCTGGGATAAAACTCACCTCACTCACCCCAGCCCCATCCACGCCTTCTCCAGCCCCACTCCCCTCTCCTGCTGACACACACGCTGCTCCCCAGAAGACAGGCTTTTCTCACAGTTACTCCATGGGATGCATCACGCACCAAGTGGGCAGAAGGTAACCTCTGGATCCTCCCTATTCCTGCCTCCCCCCCCCCCCCCCCCCGGGGCGCCCCCCCCCCCCCCCCCCCCTCTTTTTTTCTCCCCCGCCAGCCCGCCCCCCCCCCCCCAAAAAGCCTGTAGCATTGCATGGGGTTGTTGTGGCCCGAGTGCAGGACCCAGCACTGAGCCTTGTTGAACCTCATACAGTTGGCCTCAGCCCATTGATCCAGCCTGTCCAGATCCCTCTGCAGACCCTTCCTGACCTCCAGCAGATCAACACTCCCGCCCAACTTGGTGTCGCCTCCAATGAAGGTAACAAGCCACCAATTCGGTGTGTTGTCACATATCAGGGTGACGCACCAAACCCCCGCCGGGAAAATTACAGAGCGACCGATTTCCCGGTGGTTCCCGGCGCGCTGGCGGCTGCGCGGCTCCCGCGCCCCCCCCCCCCCCCCCCCCAAGGGATGTCCCACTGCCTTCCCACCATAGTGTTCTCGTCCCTTTGTCTTTGCAAACTGCTCATCTTTGCTGCACAAACTCATCACAGTACTAAACCAGGTGTAACTACCTAAATCACGCTTCACATCACTGCTAAATAAAAGCCAGTGCAAATCCCATTGCAATATGCAATCTACAGAGCGGTAACAAACAAGGACTGAGACACTGCTTGGATGCAACTCTCCAGGCCCAGAATCTCTTGGAGGTTTCAGAAACCTCACATTTCTATTCAGAAACCATTCAAACTGCAGGAGATTAGAAATAAAAGTCTTCAGGGCTGTGGCAGAGTGAGATCAAACAAAGTGGTTTACTCATACAAAAGAAAAAGCTAAACACCTGGCATGCGGTGGTGTTTGCTTGGTTTAACTGTTAAGTTTAAATGTGCCTGGAGCAGCCCTTGTCTGCAGCACTTGCTCTGCCCCTCTGTATAGACTACCCAGTCTGTATTTTAATTGCACATTCCTTCATGAGCACGTCACAAATTTTACTGGAAACCTCAGTTCTGCCTGCCCCCTCTGAAAGGCTGCCATGCAATAGCACGCACACAAACCGTGAAGCTTATCCTAGTCTCAACATGGCCTTAGTTTTAATGTTAACTTCCACAGAAGCCACTAAGGTTTTAACCAAAACTCCAACTACCCTGTCTTAAGGCTAAAGACTAACACAGTTGAGTTTTTGAAGAACAATCCCATCTTCCAGGAAACAAATCTGCATCACTAAGACTACTCAGCTGATTTACGACCATGAGCCCTGTTTGCAAAGGCACTTTAATGCTGAGTATTTGCTGACCAAGGTCTGATTTTAGATGCATCTAAGTCCCAGTTCAGGTGATAGCAGAGAGGCGTTCACCAAGCCTGGTTAAAAGCACCTGCAAAGAGATGCTTTAGAAGATGCTCCTTTGCTGCCTCTCCATTTACAATGGCACAAATGGTGCAGAGGAGTTGCATCTGTCCCATGGCCACCCTCCTGGCATTTTGGCACAGAAACAGGTCTCCACAACTGGGTAAAACGTGCTGTACGGCAAGCTAAGGCTGAGACGCAAACCAAGACCTTGTCATGAAACTACCACGGTTGGTTTTGTCTGCAGCATAAGCTGGTTTATAAACTTCCCCAGGCAGATGGGTGCAGCGAGTCATGCTGCCCGCACCAGTTAAAAGAAACCTGCTACACGTGGGCGGTCACAGGCAAAGGTAAGAACAAACCTTCAGCCATGCCCAAAGCTCTACCAGAAGGGCCTGTTTCCTCTCAGCATTAGCCAGCTCGCCCGAAGCAGATATTTCTATGTCAGCAAGATGTTCTTCGCTGCCACTGTTTTATCCTAGAACAGACACTGGCATGGCCAACTTTGAGCTGCCTGCGCTGGGTTCCCAGGCCAGGCCAATGTCTGCAGCCCGCGAGGATAACTACATGTGCCAGACAGAGCTCAACTGTGTATCGCCACTCAGTGCACAAGGAAGACATTTCTACTGCCATATACACCCAAGAACACGGAAAAGCATAGGTGTACAATTTTTGGTCAAGTACAGAGTTAGGCACATTTTTCCTTCTGTCCTTGATAATGTGATTTGGGGAGGGATGCCTCCCTTGGAGCCCATGCCAGCCATCAGACCCATGCGTGC